TGTGCATCATAGCAAGAGATCGAACTCCCAGTTGGTCAAACTCCCGAGGGGACACTTTGCATATTAGGCTTTTATATAGAGAGATTCTTGAAATAACAAAGTTATAAAATGGAGAACAGATAATTAGTTGCCAAAGATTAGGGAAGAAGAGGGAGGATAAGACTATAAAGACATGTCATAAGGGACTTTCTTTGTGGTGATAGTATTTTGATTATAATGATGGTTATATGAATCTATACATGTGATAACATGTCATAAAGGTATACCTAAAACATACAAAAAAGTGAGTATGCAAAAATGCTGAAATTGGAGTAAGGTCTGTAGTCCAATTAATTGTATGTTGCCAACCAGTTACCTGGTTTTGATAATGTACTATGGTTATATAAAATATCACCATTAGGGGAACTGGCTAATGGGTGCACCTCTGTATACTGTTTTTGCAACTTCTTAGGAGTCTTAAATTATTTCAAAATAAAAAGTTAAAGAGAGCCCTGGCTGGGTAGCTCAGTTGGTTGGAACGTTGTCTTTATATGTCAAGGTTACAGATTCAATACCAGTTAAGGCACAAGAATCAACCAATGAATGCATAAATAAGTGGAACAACAAGTTGATGTTTCTCTCTTTTCTCTCTCTCTCTCTCTTTCTCTTTCTCTCTCTCTCTCTCTCTCTCTCTCCCTTCCCCTCTCTGTCTAAAATCAATCAATAATAAAAAATTTTTTAAGGGCGTTAGAGAGAGTAAGAACAAGTAGAGCATGATGGAGGAGGGGAAGAGAAAGAAAAAAATGAAGGCTTCCAGGCAAGAAGCAGAATAAAAAGGACTTATTTACCCTTCTACCTAAAACACCACCACAACTTTCTAAATAGACAAAATACATAAAAAACAGTTTCCAAGACACTAATATTAGTAAATGAAATAGAGTGATCACTGAGAGAAAGGAAACAAAATAAGCCCCTCCTAACTGCCTCGAGAATTTCCAGGCTATGGTGAGTACAGAGGGGAAATGCATCTATTATGGAACCCAGCAGACTCCCTGAGTTGAGAAGATTCCACAGAGACTAAGCAAGCTATAGTTCATAGGACAGAATACCAGAGGGAATAGAGCCTGGTGCTTACACAGGTCCAGGAATAATGCCTGCTTTACTGGCCAGACTGGAAAAAATTATAACTCATGGAGCATTAGGTAGAGGACTAAGTTGGAAACAATTAACCCTAGACTGAGCACCCCTCCTCTACCTAACAAATTATAAAAGCAAGAGATGAAAGGCTTAAACTATTACCAAGTAACTTAACTGCATCCTTGAACAAAGCTAAAGATTTACAGGAATACAAAAATATTCAGCGCCCAACAAAATAAAATTCACAATATCTGGCATCCAATCAAAGGTTATCAGACACGCAGAGGCAAGAAAACATGACCCATAATGAGGAGAATATCAATTGAAACCCACCCAGAACAGACACAGATGTTAGCATTAGTGGAGAAAGAAAATAAAAGTTATAGCTGTATTCCACATGTTGGAATAAAGTTAAGACATGGAAAATATTTTTTAAAAAACCGAAATTGAATTTCTAGAAATAGAACTGAAAACTATAATGTCTGAAATGAAAAATTCAGCAGCTGGGATTAGGCATAGAAGATTTGAGGAAGAAAGTCTCTCCAAGAATATTTCTTGGGCAAAATTGGTTAATTGTATACTTGCTCAAAACCTAGAGTATGATTATCTTTGTTCTAATTTCAAGTAGTTGAGAGAAAAATACAATGATAGGCACCATTAAAACTAGCTCAAAAATATTTTGCCAGTAAATATTTGTTGTCAAGATATCTTGGTTTGCATTTCTGTCAAGAGAACTGTAAACAGTTAAACCATGTTGGCAACATTAAGATATTGGTTATGGAACTGTGTATGGTATTAGAGGTTTTGTTTGTGAAATACTGCATTAAAATAATTAAATTTCAGCATAATTATTTTCATGTTGTTTTATAAGTATGATTTATTTTCCTAGCCAGCTGGTAAGCTTTTTGAGGGTACTAACGTGTCTTTTTACATCTTTTGACCCTCCCTGAAATACTTAGCATGGGGCTTCCCATTGTGGGTGGTCAGTAGAGTTTACACTGTAAAAGAGGGAATCCTCCAACTATGATGCACTGAAGTTTATTCTGGGGCTAATAAGGCAGCACCAGAATTATCCCTCTGAACCAAAAATATGTAAATAAACAAAGCCTGTTACAGGGTTTGGGGAAGAGGGTGCAAAAACTCATCTCAGTCAAGAAGCTTTTCAAGCTTATTTTAAACCAGAGAACTAAATTATGCAAATGATTCCTTAGAGCCTTATCTTTAGCCACAGCCAGTGCTGATTAGGTCAGGCACATTTAGGGTTCATGGCTAACGCTTCTCAACTAGGCATTTGAGGAAATAAATAAATTTGGAGATTTATATATTTGGGTGGATTTGGACAGAGCAAATTTAGAGTGCAAATGCTAGAGTTTAAAAATGTCCTAAGGAGAAACTTTTCTCCCCATTTAATGGAAGCCAAACCACGTGGGGATAGGGTGGGCATTTCCCATTTCTTGGTCAAATAAACATTGTCTGGTTTTCATTGGCAAAGGCATTTAAATAAGGAGCAAGGTTTTTGCAACCCCAAGTTCCAATATGTGTTACAAGATTTTTTAAGGAAAGGATTTATAAACTTTGCAAATTAGAGTAGAGTCTCCACAGGTTCAGGTCAAAGTATGAAGGGCTTTTAGTAAATTACTTTTTGGCAAGATAGAGCTATTTTAAGGAACCTACGTGTAATTTTGTAAACTACCTTATTTTTTTTAGTATTGTCTCTAAGCTAAGATTGCTTTTGTGTTCATTTTGTTGGTACCAGCAGCACCATGCGTGGCCTCTGCTGCTGCAGAAGGAAATAGGCAGATTGGCTTCTCTCTCCATAAGCAAGAAAATGCATTATTAGGAAGGTGACAAATAATATATAAGGAAAAAAATTGTAGATATTTGGGAAAACCTTACTATTTTTTATGCTTTGCCTATTGATGCTAAATAGTGTAGAAAAATAATAAAGTTAGAGAACCTGTGTTCAAGATTTTCTGTTCTTCCCTCTATGTTTATTTGAATCACTAGGAAAAAGAAATTCTGTATTATAGAAAGACTACTGGGTGCAGGTGCCTCAAAATCCTGACCTACTGAATGCAGCACAGGCATAGAAAGAACAAATTCAGAGCTGAACCCCTTAATAATAAAGTTAGGGGGGAAAGAGAAGCTTCTAACACAAGGATTTACTAATGGGAATCATAATGGTATTAAAAATATAGCAAGAGAAGTAGAAGGAAAAACTCTAGAGCAGTGGTTCTCAACCTTCCTAATGCCTCAACCCTTTAATACAGTTCCTCATGTTGTGGTGACCCCAACCATAAAATTACTTTCGTTGCTACTTCATAACTGTAATTTTGCTACTGTTATGAATCGTAATGTAAATATCTGATATGCAGGATGTATTTTCATTATTACAAATTGAACACAAAGCATAGTGATTAATCACAAAAACAATATGTAATTATATATGTTTTCCGATGGTCTTAGGCGACTCCTGTGAAAGGGTCGTTCAACCCCCAAAGGGGTCGCAACCCACAGGTTGAGAACCTCTGCTCTAGAGGAAGTCATTGAATACTCAGCTGTGTTCTGGGACAGATACAGTGACCTCTAAGACATAAATAAGATTATGGCTCAGATTAAATGGGAGATGCAATAATTCAGAGAAGAATTTGTAATCAAAGAAGCACTTAACACAAAGATTGGATGGTACAAAGCACCTTTTCATCACCTGAGCACATTATATGGTACCACCAAAGGAAAAAAAATTATACTAAAGAAAAGGATTGCCTGATTTGTGTGCTTGGATTTAACAAGGAACATTTATATGATGAATTGAAATAGTATATTTACAGCTCCTCAGTTCAAATTTGACTGGGTTCTTAAGGACAGAATTGCAATGGAGTGCCAGAGGTGGTGTAACAACTTAATTACCTTGACGGTGACAAAAAAAACATAGAACTAGAAGAATTGAGATGGGAAATGAACCAGTGAGCTAGCTCTATGAATGCCACAGCCTATTACCTTGAGAGAATTTCTAGGCTGCAGGGCACAGAGGGGTAAGAGGCAGAGCCAACAGACTCCCCAGAGGAGGGGACTGAACTGAGCATCTAGGGCAAGTGTGTCAAACTCAAAGGCTCACACGGGCCAAATAAACGAGGCATGTGGCCCGTGTGCTGCGAGTTGGACATGCTTGATCTAGGGAGACCAGGGCTGCTGGAGTTCATAGGAGAGTTCCAGAGAGTAGGCAGCTGTAAAGGTTGCCCATGAGCGTTCAGCAAAGTACTGATCATCCTGTGTGTGAGGAAACTAACACTTCCTACAATGGGAATGAACTTCAAAATAATTATGCTGAGTGAAAGAACCCAGATTTTAATAAAGTGTGCATACTGTAGGATTTCATTTATTACAATTTAAAAAAATGAACTAATCTGTTGTGATTGCTGAGGGATGGGGGTAGAGGGGTCTGGAGGTAACAGGCAGGGAGGCACAGGAGGGAAAGATTACAAAGGGGCACAAGGAAACTTGTAGGTGTGATAAATATGTTCATTATCTTGATTGAAGAAATGGTTTCACGGGTTTTTTACATGTTCTAAAACTTAATACATTGCATACTTTATATACATGTCATTTATTTGGTCAATTGTGCTCATGTAAAGCTCTTTTTTAAACTTGGATGCAAAAAAATACAACTAAAAAACAGTAGCTTCCCTTTTAGGGTTGTTCTGAGAAAATGAAAGGAGGGATCAAGCCCAGGTAACCTTTGTAACTCTTTCCCAACTCTATCACAACTAAGATTTTTTGTTGTTCCAAAGCATTTTTGGTTTTAAAGATATATTGTTAGGATCTATGTAGTCAAATATTGCTATTGTCACTCAAGATATAACTTCATGCATTTTGTGTTTCAGGGCTCATGAATCAAGGAAGCAAACTTGAAAAATGGATTAAGGCTGATGCCCCAAAAGGCACTGTAAGTTTTAGAAATCAAAGCTGGTTTCAGTCCCTGAAACTGCAGGACTGAATGGTTTGAGCCCGGCCGGTGTGGTTCAGTGGTTGAGTGTTGGCCTATGAACGAGGAGGTCACAGTTTGATTCCTGGTCAGGACACACGTACAGGTTTTGGGCTCGATCCCCAGTAGGGGGCGTGCAGGAGGCAGCCAATCAATGATTCCCTCTCATCATTGATGTTTCTATCTCTTCCTCCCCCTCTCTTTTTTAAAAAAGGAATGATTTAAGTTGTATTTATAATTTTAATAATTAGTAGATCAATGGCTACAAAAATGCAAATACCACTGTTCATATAAATATTGAAAATAACAAATTGGATGAGTATTGGTGAATTGTGTTTTTTTTGGGGGGGTGTCAAAATTTGTACTTACCTATTGTTTTAGTTTCCTTATTGCTCTGTAACATATTGCTACAAACTTATCGACTTAAAATAACACTCATTTAACAGCTCACAGTTCTGTAGGTCAAGAGCCTGGCTAGATTCTCCATTCAGGGTACCCATCAGGCTGAGCTCAAGATGTTGGCTGGACTGAGTTCTCATTTGGCTGCTCTGGTAAAATAAAATAAATCTTCCAAGCTCATTCTTATTGGTGCTAAAATCTTGTTCCTTGTGACTGTATGAGGTCTCCATTTTCTTGCTGTTGGCATTTGCTCTAAGCTTCTAGAGACTAACTATATCCCTTCTCATATGGCCCTGATCATCTTCTAGGCAGCAATGATGCATTCAATCTTTCTAATACTTCTGACCTGTTCTGCAGCCACGTGGAGAGAACTCTGCTATTAAAGGGCCCACTTGATTAGGTCAGGCCTACCCAGGATAATCTTTGTTTTGTCATATAATATAACATAATTATGGGAGTGATGTCTCACATATTCACAGTTTCCACTCATACTCAAGAAATTATACAAAGACATAGGTAATAGGGGGAGGGGGATAGGGAGTTATTTCAGAATTTTTTGTGCCATAGGTCTTATGTAATGTTTTCTACTTGTATTTATTATGACATCAAAGTAAATTTAAGTTGTGAATAAAACACATCATAAATATGATGTAATTGTTACTGATTTTTCATTTATTTTGCATAATTTAAGACATAACTTGTTAGTGGGAGAGAAACATTCAGCTGTTTTGTAGCCTGATGTTTGAAGATAGATTTTCACTTTTATAATGATGTATTATATAAAGTTATTTTATGAATTCTCGTTCTTTCAAACCTTATTTGTCTACTCCTAGAGCATTTAAATTAACACTGAAAGACTACCTAGTAGATTAGATTTTTTATGATTAGGATACATCAGTTCTTAAACACTAATTTCTGATATACCTTTCCAAATAGTGTGATTTATAATAGTCTCTTTTTGTTAATATTTCACTTATTTACAGTTGTCTGTTTTTAACTTGTGAAACAAAAAGTCAGCTTTATGTAATATCTCCAAGTCTCCTTTTAGTTTACCCTTTGTGAAATCAAAATTAGTATAAGTTTGGATGATACACATTAGTATATTTGATGTGGTTGTGGTGTGTGTGTGTGTGTGTGTGTGTGTGTAATAAGTAGAGGAAACTGAGAGGCAATGAGACAATTTTTATCCTTTTTCACTCTCATGCAATTATATAAACATTTTCATGACTAAAAATAAAGTTTATGAACTTAGTCAACAATATCCAAAAAGGTCATGAGCATAATATTAGTCAACTGTATTTAAAATTATTAAAAGAATTATACATAATTTGGATCACATAATCAAGTCTAAACAGAAAGGGAAAGCTTCCATATTTTGTTCTCTTGAACACAGACTGACTTATATTAAATGCTTGAGAGCTGAGACCTAAGAAATAATTTGGATACCCTGAGGACCTTGCACTGAGAACTTGAAGATTTCACCCCCTCTTCACTCTACTTCTTGATCCCCTTTTCATAATCTACTTTTTCTAACACATCTTTTCTTTCATTTCTGTGTCCATAAAATTTGTCTCCCCATGAAGAACAAATGTATCTCCTGTTCTTTTTCTTTTATTGATTTTTTTTTAAGAGAAAGGGGAAGGGAGAGGGAGAAAGAGAAACATATTAGAGCAGAATGTGGATTTGCTGCCTGCTGCACATCCCCTACTGTGGATCAAGCCAGCAACCCGGGCATATGCCTTACCAGGAATCAAACCAGCAACCGTTCGGTTCATGGGAGGACACCCAGTCAACTGAGCCACATGGCCAGGACTCTGTTGTTATTTAAAAGAGGATCTTAGAGAGTTTTGGAGTTAAACACCCTGCTTGGTTACTAGAGAACATAATAGGGTGTGTCGATCCTTACTCTGGTCTTCCCCATGCAGGTGTTATTGCTGAAGAAAGCAGCAATAGGTCTCTCCAGTTGTGTGCTTGAAACATTTAGGGGTCAGAAGCCAACTTTTTAATTTTTTTTTTAACAGAGAGAGAAAACTGATTTGTTGTTTCACTTATGCATTCATTCGTTGTCCCTTGTATGTGCCCTAAACGGGGACCAAACCCACAACCTTGGGGTTTCAGGACAATGCTTTCATCAGTTGAACTACCCAGCCAGGGCAGAAGCCAGCTATTATGTAGCTGCCAGAAATCTCCAAATGTAGTTTAAAAATCACCATCAGAACAATCATCTTAAATCTTTTGGCTCGGGTCTTAAAACTTCCTATTCAGCTGATTCCCCTGCTGTCCACTTTCAGGAACCATTTCTACAGCTAAGTGATACTACTTAATTTCAAAAACTCTTTCAAAATCAAACTAAAGGGAGAATTATTAAAACTATTTAGCTAATATAGATTACTCTATAATAATACCAGTTGAGCCCTTTTAAAAATTTTTCAAAATAACTTTCATATCCTTTTCCTTAAATGTTATCCTTCAAATTTGTGGGATACAAAAGGATAGTGATGAACCCCATTTAACAGATAAGTAACAGAGGAAATAGGGTTAAATACTGATCTAATATTACTGACACAACTTCTTTGGGGCAAGCAGAACAGTGTGCTCTCCCCTGGACTCTGAATATCAGTCTACATGACATTAAATAATGTTACAAATAACCTATATCTCTTAGCATAAAATTGGGAGAGCACCCTTTTTGGGATAGCATAGTTTTAAAATATCCCTGTTGTGCAAATCTGATTAAAAAGATTTATCTGAGACATTGCAGGGACATTCTATTCACAGATAGTTCCTGCTTCAATTTAATTTGCTCCTAGCAGTTAAGTCAGATGTTGAGATGAGTCGGTCAATTGGCATTTAGTTCTGTCTTGTTGTTAAGTATCTGGAAGCCATAAGAAAACCTTGTTTCCTCTAAAAATTTATGTTGCCCAGCTGGCGTGGCTCAGTGGTTGAGCCTCAAACTATGAACCAGGAGGTGTCATGGTTTGGTTCCTGGTCAGGGCACATACCCGGGTTGCAGGCTCGATCCCCAGTGTGGGGTGTGCGGGAGGCAGCAGATCAATGATTCTCATCATTGATGTTTCTTTCTTCTCTGAAATAAATAAAAATGTATTTTTTAAAAAATGTATGTTTATGTTTTTTACAATAAAGCTTCACAGATCCTTAAAGTCATTTGCCCTGGCTCCATCTTTTTGATTTATAAGGCCACCTCTGCTTTTCTAAAGAAAAGCTTCTAAATTTCTTGTCAAAAAATATTATAAATCTCAGTGTTGTTTCATATAACTGTAACCTCAGATTTAATAATCTCATCAAACTATTGGTTTGATTAAGGTAAATTTACATGGAAAATTTATATAGTAGCAATACTTGATTTGACTTTTTAAAAATCATGATTATTAGACAGAAGATTTAATGATGTATTTAAAAACATTTGTAGTTGGAATAAGAATCAGGAGATGATTTGCTGCTGTTTATACCATTGAGATCCAGCTAATAAAAATATTTGCATCAAATGAAGTCACCAAATTCTAGATTTTTTTGTTCTTCTGTTTGAGTTGAAAGTTATACTACTTCCTCTTCACTATTGTATGTTGACTCTTTCACTGTCAATTCTCTATCTTTAAGTGGTGTTATCTCCCGCCGCCGCTGCTGTCTGTTACATGCTTGCCTTTATCATCATAGCTAGACCAAACTGGAGTTCCAGTAGGGTTGTATTCCTGCTGAACTATAGATGACATTTTCATAGCTGCCTCCCTGCAATAACAGTGATTAGCATTAGCTAGTTGGCAGAAATCATCGCCAGTGTAGATTTTTCAAACTAAATCAAAGTTGGAGTTAAAAAACTCACCATCAGGAGTTGAATTCACGTTCCACAACTTTCTTGCCTTCCTGAGGGGGAGGGGGTGGATAATTGTGCTAATAATCAGGATCCCAAAGCTTAAGTAGCTCGGTGGCACTCTAGGTTAGCCAGTTCAGAGATGAACAGGCACAGTGAATGAATGAGTCACGAAATTGCATGGCCATGGACTAGGAATACTGAGAGCACCCTATAGTGCTCTTGAGTGAGCTCTCTGCCTGCCATTTCCAGAGTCTTAGATGAGGCAGAACCCTTTGCAGTCAATCTGTGAAGGCTAACCAGGCACCCGAACAGGAACTCCTAACCCAAAGTCTGCAGATCTCTGTTGGATACATGGATGAGTTTCAGGGAGGCCCATGAACTCTTGGAAAATTTATGCAGTTTGTATCTTAATATGCCTTTTTTTTCTGAGGAGAGGGTTTGTGACTTTCCTCAAATTCTCAAAGGTGTCTATGACCAAAATGATTAAAAATACTAGTACTATCTTTCTTAGGAGGCAGAAAGGAAGGAAGCAAAGAGGGCATGTAAAAATTGTTCTGAACTCCCAATTCCAACATGAGGGTGTGTGTGTTGTTGGGGGGTTCCCCCATACTACCAAGCAATTATTGGATACCAACCAAGGTGTCCTGCAGTTCAACTCAATTATGATACCATCTACCCAGAGTTAGCATCAGATTCCACAGGTTAAGGGCTCAGTCCCACAAGACCACCC